CTAGTAAAGTCCAACAGCTTTTGGTCAACTCTAATCAATCTTGCAAGTTTAAAGATGAACAGAAAAAATTGGTTTACTTTTTTTCCTTCTTTTTTTGCCTTTTCTCAAGACAAAGCATTCATGAGATATTGATGAGTGTCTATCTAGATGATTCGAGTTTCGAGAAGAAAAAAAGTTCTGCACCAAAAAGAATATGATATTTCAATATTGAAACAGAACCAAAGATTGCATCAAGAAACGAGAATATTTATTCTCTTTCATGCTCTACTTATTCAAATCTTGTAGCCAATACAAGCCAATAATATGTCATTGCAGGTTCACCTGAATATAATTACAACTAAATGGCGAAAATGTTTTCATGAAAAGAAAAGGAAAAAAATGCATTTTCCATAATTACATTCAATAATGGATTACAATGAACATCAACAATTGTTGCCACTTCAATAGATAAACATGATTTAAATCAATATCCATGAGTCACCATCGATTGGACTCTTTTGGTTGACTGTCCAGTTGAAAGGTCAACTTATTGTTTCTCATCATGTTTCGAGTGGAATTCAAAATAATCAATTTATCTGGTGAAATTGGGCAAAAATGATCAACATTTACTGATTTCTCTGTGAATTGCATTTACCAATGAAACTGTTGGACTTGAATTTCTCATGAATTTTTTTCTTCTTCTTTTTCCTTTTTCCTGTTGAACTTGCTTCAACAATTTAATGGTTCATCTTTTAACATGATTTTAAATTGCCTTGATTATACTGACAAGGTAAACATGAATGTTGAAAAGTACAATCCAATTGTTCACATTATGAGTTTAAACAAAAAGAAGAAGAAGAGGAAAAGAAGGCGAACAAAAGCAAAATTAATTCACTGATTAGCAACCAAATAATGTTGACATTTTAACACAAATGTAATACTAAAGGTTTGGTAATCAATGAGAAAAGATTAACTCTAAATCTCTTGATAATCTCACAGAGTTATCATTAGTATTTCTTTTATTCTCTCTTTTTATTTAGTTGCAGTTTTCTCATGTGTAAATTTGATAATCCAATTTTCATGTATTTCTTCTCAACATTATTCCATGATACAATGATGATGATGATGATGATGATAATGATGATCAGGATCAAGTGAATTCTGTCACAACAATGGCAGTCTCATTACCACACCTAGATTTCATTTCAATTCAATTCTGATTAGAGTTACCCATCTTGTTATCAATTGTTGCTCAATTGTTTGATCATTTTGCAACTGAGATGAATAAAAGTGTCGAGTTTTCTGACTCAAAGACGTAGTAATGAAATGCTGAAAAATGTTGATTGGTATGATAACAAATTTATCTGGGCGTTGACATGTTCTCCTTTACCAATAATGTTGATATTAGTCGATGCAAACACTTACTTGAATAAAAAACAATATAAATGTTGAACTAATAGGAATGTTCAATTTGGTGAAACAGCTAATTCGGTTAATCACTTCTTTTTCCTGTTGCTAATGGACGAGTTGATAATTCTGATAGCAAAGCGAAGCGAAGATTTTTACCCAGCTGCAATTTTGAAAATTCACTTTATTCTTGCTGAAAAATCGGAATCTGCTCAAGCTTGGTATAAAATGTTTTTAAAAGCAAAACTTGGCGCTTCAAATTTCAAAGGCGATCAGAGGTCGTTTTTCGAGAATTCGATTTTTGGCTTTGTAGCTCATCTGAAGATTATTCAAATTATTCCAGCTCTTTTTGTTACTCTTGATTGTAAACTCATCATTATACAGGGTTATTCAGCAACTCAGTATGATGTGGAACGCCAGCAACTTTGATACTAGACACGTTATTGGACTGGAAATCGAACAGTGAGTTTGCTAGACATTCTTTTTTTGTTTCAAGGACAAGGTCATTCAAGGTCATTTTTCGGAAAGCGTTTCTGTTTATGTTAGAGGTCAATCCGAGGTCATAACATAATTTAGTGAAGGCAGAAACTAGTCCAGTCAAATTAATCTTTGCAAAGGTTCAACTTTAAAGAGATTCAGTCACTTTTTTGGCTGACTTAAAATTTGTGTCGGATTATTTTGCATTATCATTGTGACAAGAAAGTTGAAACATTGAGTCAACAAGAACAGTTTTATCTTGCAATTACTGTTACGAGCAGAGATAAGGTTGAAAATGACACCATCAATCATGAAGTTTGTTTAATTGAATGAAAATTGAAGCAAACATTGCATTGTGTATACAATCACGAACAACCTTTGCCACAAATCAAAAGAGTGATAACAAAAAAAACTGATGAAACTTGCAACTTGCAATATCGATCCATCCTTTTGATTAATATTGCATATTGAATTTTGAAAAATGTAATCATTTGCATTTCAGTTTTTCTTTGCTCTTCTTTTGCATAAAAAATAAATGATTTGACTATGAAAGACTGCCACAACTCTGGAACAAGATTAATGTTCACTGAAAAGTTAAAGGTAAACGAATATAACTGGATAAAGATAACAATATTATAAACTGTTTTCCTTTCCAGTTGTACCTCAGTTGTCTCACAATTTTGATTATATTGACTCGAGTGAACAATACTGGTGCAAAATTTCATCTTGCAAGGTGGAATCTGTTCATTTCTCTGATTCTTCACCTTTTTTTTTCATTTCAATCTTTTGCCTCTTCTTTTACATTATTTTTCCTCTTTTCTTTCCAACTGATTCCGCTTTATTTGCCTTTCTTTTCACAACCTTTGCATTATGATTTATTCAAATGTTGATTCAAGATGACATTTTTGGGCACAGCAAATAAACAAATTACGATTATTATATTTTCACCAAATGTAAGCAAAAGTAGAGGCAACAAAAAAAGGCAAAATCAATGAGAAAATTAAAAGTGCAAAAAGAGCAAAACTCGAAATGCCCTTTTCCAACATTCACAATCAATCAATTACCAAAAGTAAAATACCCTTTCAAACTCGATTCCATTTTCACCTCGAAATTAACAAACGAAGTATTATCAATTCGAAAAAATGAATAAAGTAAATTAATGTTATTAATTTTTTGTGCTCACGAAAACTTGTAATGCAATGAATCTTGTTTAACAGTTATTTTACAAAACCTTTAATGTTGAATCTTATTAGCAAATTTTCATCAACCCAAATTCACTAAACGAAAATGGAAATTTTCTCATTCATTCATTTTATCAATTTGAAACTCTATTAATATGATTGCGAGTTTGGCTTAGAAAAAGTTAATAAAAATTTCGTCCATCATTTCGAGTCGATTTCACTGGCATTAATTAAATGATTAATTGGCTTCAGTGATATTACTTTCAATCTTTCAAGTCAACTTTTCTTCTCTTTACCTTTTCACTTTTCTCACCTGCTTCCCACATTGTCTTAGTCAATAGTTAATCAACTGGCTAACTGGTTATATCACAATTCATCAACATCACTCCCTGTCAAGCAAATGTGGTACTTGGAGGGAAACAGAAACAAAGAAAACTTTTTTTTCTCGAAATCGTTTTTGAAACAATGAAATCTTTAATCTATCAGTCTGTAAGATCTAGGGTCTGAGATTTATCCAAGAATTTCAATTCTTTTTGAAAATGATGATTTCGTTTGTTGAACCAATCTGAATGTGACGGGGAATTGCATTGAATTTTGTTCCTTGTTTGCTTTGGGCTTGTAATTAGTTTTGTTTGCCGTTAATTACCAAATGAGTTTCGAGTCGAGTTTTGTGTTCACTTGTTGTTGGTGAAGACAATTGTTTAAATAAAAGATTCAATTTCGTTTCTCATTTTCAATTGAGTTGATTCTTTTTCTTTCCTTTTTTTCCACTTTACCTGAATCTTTTATTGTGATGAATAGAAAGGTACTTTTAGTCTGAAACTTGTTGGGGAGAAGAGGTAAAGAGTAAAGTGTAGGAAGAAGAAGAAGAGGAAGAAAAAAATATAATAACAGTAATATAATGAGTTCACTTATCTTAAGCCATTTTATCTCTAAAGGCTTTTAGTATTATTTTATTTCTTTTTGGATTCCTTTTGTTCGCTCTCTCTCCTTTACCGCTAGACATTAAGATTATCAATCAATTAAATGGCAATTGACTTGTACAATGTGAACATTTACCTTTTTTTCCGTCTCAAACTTTGACTAAACTGTTAACCTAAATAAGCGTAAACTTGAATTACAAGTTACATGTTAATCAATTGATTTACTTTTCGTGTTAATACAAAGAAAATTGCAGTTCAATGCAATCCAAATGTGCATCAAACTCGACAAAAATGTAACCAATGGAAGGTGAAATCGCACTAAAAGTAACAGTGGACAGCACTTCGAACTGACCTAAAAATTGTAGCCAATTGATGTCCATTAAATTTACGTTAAAAAAGTCTAGATGACAATATGTCTAGACTGCAAGTCAATCAGTAAAGACAAAGATTTAATTTCCATTCTTTAACCTTCATAACTTGAGCGACTTGTACTTTAACTGGACAAAAATGTAATGTTTTATCCATGTGAAGGGATAGAGTCAGACTCTTTAAGATTTACTTGATGATTATCATGACAGGACATTATTAATCTCAAATGCTATTGAACATAAAGCCGTTTCAATGAAAACCTTTTTGATTCTAAAAGCATTTATCGATTGAAAGATGACTAAAGATGAACAAAGTTAAAGTCGAGATTTACGAGTTTGATTGAAGGGAAAAGAGAAACATAAAACTCTTTCATGATATTAATCAATAAAGAAACTTTAATAATTAATATTTTCCTTAAGATACGAAAAAGTGTTTTGACTTGTTTAGCCTTTAATGCACAAGTAAAGGATAATCGATAAAGAGACTCGAAAACTTGGTGATTTGGTAAACATTTTTGTCTTCATTGAAATTTACATACTTTTAAACAATTTGCTGAGCTGTTGGATGTAAAAAGGTGAAAATTGAAATGAAACAGAAACAAGCAAACAGTATTTCCATGAATTTGTTTTTTGCACGAAAAGAAAATGTTTTATTCCAAACTCACCTTTTCCTTGGATTTATCTGAATATGATGAACAATCTTCACAAATGGGCTCGGAACAGGTATCGCAATAGTTGCACGGTTCATTGGTCAATATTTTCTTTCTACAAGTTCGACAATTGCCGACAAGTTTTGAACCAGATGAAGGCGATTGAGTCGGTGAACTACTCAGTGTGGGTCCATCTTTTTTATCAACAGTTGAAGTTTTAAATTGCCTTGAGTTTTGATGAAAGAATTGAGTAATGAAAAGAAAATGATGGAAAAATGAAAGAAGAAGAATAAAGGTCAATTCAGGTTACATGTTCATTATTCAGTTGAACAAAGTTTCGAAAGATAAACAACAATAATCAGTGGGAGAAGGAGAAGGAAAAGAAGAAGAAATGAATTAAATTGATTTCGGTTCATTTTCTTTTGGGCATTTTTCATGTTCACCCATCAAGAGTTGTACATTTATCCATTTTCATTGGTCAATTTTTGACGTTTCATTGATCATGGAATGAACCAGAAGAAGTAAAAAAAATGTGAAAATGAAATACAGAAAAGCAAAGCAAGCGAGAAAAGAGCAATTGTCACTTAAATTGTCGAGTTTCGAGTTTTTCTAAAAATTGGAAATTACAATTTTCTCATTGATCCGATGAGCTGACAAATTTGCATTCGAGAAGCAAAACTTTTCGACTTTGAAAAGTTTAAAAAAAATTCTATTTATTCTCTTCTCTTCAATTAAAAGTGTTTACTGTTGAACAACAAGTGAAATAAACTCAACTTAACCTTTAATTTGAAACAAATTCATTGCAAAGCATTCAAAGTTGAAATGAAAAGATTGACAGAAAAGTGGTTTAATCAAAGTGTTGATTAATCGGTTAATTATAAAAACTCTTTTTTTTTATTTCCATTTCAAGTTGAAATGAGTTTCCATCAATTTTACTTTTTTGTGCCTTTTTTGTCAAATGCAAATTTTTTGGGAAAATGAGAGAAGATTGAAAAAAGGAAAATTTCGATTTTCTCGAAACTCGCAACAAGTGAAATCGTAGTGATTGGTATTCATCGTTTCTTGTTAGTTTCGTCACATTTGTTTTCTTTTGGAAAAGAAAATGAATTTTTTTCCAGAAAATTAGCTCAATTTTGTTTGCTGATCAAATGTGACCCTTGCTTTTGCTTATTCACTTTGTTCATTATTCTTGTTTCTCTGGTTTTTTCTTATGAAACAAGATGACAGAAAGAAAATGTTGCTCGACAATTATGAGAACTTGTTACCTCTAATGATGACAATCTGTTAACTTGATGATAAAGATGATGTAAAAGAGAGAGAGAGAAAAGGATGAAAGAAAAGAAATGAAAATTTTCTTCCAAACAGGTGAACCAAGTTACCTTACCTCAATTATGTAACCAAGGCTCAACATTTTCTCATCTTTTTTCGAACATTTTTATCTCTTTTTCTCTCACCTCATCATCCATTTCCAACACTTGCCGATATCTTATGCAACATGTTTTATCCTTTTTATCCTCATCATTTACCCTTTGATTCGTTTTTTGTCTCGAAAATTTTTTTCTTTTCTCTTTCACATTTTCATATTTTAAAACTTTAATTGCTTTGATTGGGCTTTTAGCACTTGAAACCTTTCAGACATTCATCATTCCAGCTGAATTCAGTGGTTATCGATAAACAGCTAGAGATGAACTTTTTAATTTTCATTCTTTTCTTTGCTCTTTCGTTGATCCTTTCAACGGTTATTATCTTGGTATTTATAATGACATGACGATGACAATTTGAGAATAAAAAATGATCGAAATTTTGGGTCCAAAGGAAAATGCTCAATCGAGAAAAGAGACGATTCAATCTGATTAAACCGAATTTGCAAACTATTCTTCTGTTGAACTTTCAAAGGTATTAAAAAATCTCCTTTTTTCACTCTTCTTTTTACGCCTTTTGAAGCTCTCTTACATCAATGTAATCAACAAACTCGACGAACAGATTTGAACCTTTCCAATGACCTTTTGGTTTATTACCTTTTAATTTGACTCTTTTGGCTGCCATTGTAAAGCAAAGTTAGAAAAGTACAATCTTGTTACCTGAAAATGATAATCAAACTAAACTCAATTATAGACCAATAATCAACTGGTAAAGGAAAGAATGCAGAGACGAGAAGAGAAAAAAAAGTTTCCCTTTTTTTACTCTCGTTCATACTTTCGATTGCAACAAATCTGATTAGTATTTATTGTTACTGTTAATCTAATAAATTAATTGATACAATTCTACTGAGAATGGATTGAAACAAATGGAAAGAGAAGAGATGAAGAGTTGGCAGAGAGGGAAGAGGAAAAAAACAAAAGATGAGGAATGAGAGGAAAAAGGAAAAGGAAAGATGAAGAGAAGAGAAGAGAAGAAAAAAATCAAACAAACTAATGGTAAAGGTAAAGGTAAAGATCCAAATTAAATTTGGGTTACCTTTTGGATAGAGCTTCTCGGTGAAACTCTTCTTCCTTTTGAAACACTTTTTGTAAAATTAGTCTTTCCTCTTCCGTAAGATGAGCAGTAAGCTGATCATTGGTTAATGAAGATTGAGACTTTAACTTGGGAAACATTGGGTCACCACCAGATGCATCACCAGTTGAACCACTGTTGATGTCACTTGAACCATGTAAACCAGTTCCATTGGTTATACCATTACCGTTGGAGTTGGTTAAGGAGCCAGGACCACTTGTAGAGTGACGATGGCCTGTGTTTGGGTGGCACGACATTGAATCATAATCACTTGGACCTTGGTTGGAAGCATTTTTAAATCCCATCATTCGAGAGGCAACTTTAGCACGAAGCTTGTTGATCAAGGGTGAAGCATCACCCGATCCGTGTAACTTGTTGAGGGTTGACAGAGGATAAGAGTCGTTGGAAAGGGACGATGAGGAACGACCCCGGTCCGACCTGTAACGTGAAGAGCTACGTAGGGAGGAAGCACTTGAAGGACGTTGTATCCGTGATGGACTAGAGTTGAATGAAGAGACACCCGATGTGGAAGCATTACGGTTTCCCATTTTTTCTTTTTTATTTTCCTCTTCTTTTCTCCTCGCGTTTTAACAAAATTTCGTGTCTCACTTGTCAATTGCGTGAAAATTTGTCATGAATCACCATGAAATTAATCACACCAAAACAAATATTCACAGAAAAATCAACTCAATATTTTTCACTCCCAGAGTTTATTTTCTTTTTTCGCACTTCACAAATATTTATACTTGAAATTTACCAAATTTTCACGGAATTTTCGATACAAAAAATGAACTTTCGAGTTTAAAATTTTCTCTTCAATACTTAACTTTGGTAATAAAATTTTAATTACAATAATCGAGACTAGATGAAAGAGTAAAAGGTTTTGAAGGATATTTAATCACAGTTGAAACAAGAGTCAATAAGGATACAAAAAAATATTCAATTTCGAGTTCTCCAGGTAACAAACCATTTCGCTTCCATCTATACCTGTTTTGTTTAACTTATAACAATCTTTGTTCAATTTTGCCTCGTTCTTTTTTTTCCTCATCATTTGACTCTTTTCCCACTTCTCACCTTTGCTCACTCAGCTTGGCTCTTTACCATTCTCTCTGCATCTTCTCCCACCAAACCGCTACCAAAATCATCACGAATCAAATCAAGGATCAGGCGCAATGAGGAACCATCATCATCAGCAAACAACAACAAATGACTTGAGAAAATTTTCTCCATCTGATTATATTCGATCAATAAAATGCTGACCAAAATGCACAACAGGTAACACTGTGCAACACTCGATTCTACAAAAGTCCCTCCCAGTTGAACAAGAATCCAAATAACTGTCACTCCCAGTTGAGAGGCGCCACCTATGAGAACATTTCTCAACTTTTGTATCGATTTTTTTTCTCACCATTTTTTGGCGACTCTCGACGCTCACTCATTTTCATCATCGTAATCCTGCTCATCTGCTCACTGTCAACAGTTGCTTTTTGCTATAAATATTTTCATTCAATTAAATCACTTGAAACTCGCTAGTCTATAAAGAGTTGCCAATGTTGCAATGTTCATTCACATTGAAGCGAATGCAGTTCAAGATGAAATTCAAGTTTATTTACTAAAAAGTTTATCCACTTTTACCATGTTTACTTCCTGCTCTTTAACTTGTCGTGCTGTAAATAATTGTATCAATTTGTAAAACTTTCTATTCACTCAAACAACAAACTTCAAAGAAAATTTTCTTTCTCTTCATCGGAATAATCATTCTATTTGCGCATCAATTTTATCACCAACTTTAACTCGTGTTTTTTTGTGTAATCATTTCTCTGAGTGTCAACGGTGTCTAAGTGTTTCTTCATTGCTTTTGTCTATTCTCACCTTTAATATTTGGTCCAATTTTGCATTCTGCAAACTTCCATGGTCAGCACTATCCATCCCTGCCAATCCAATCATAATAGCAACTTAGTCAATTACAAATCATGGTCGTCTTGTTTACCTCGGAATCACATTTTGCTTTCCTCTTTTGCCAACTTTTGGCTACTCTTGTGCACACAATTTATACTCTTGAAATTGACTGTAATCGCACTTATACCGGTACAGTCGGCATCAAGTACCCATTGTACCTAAAGGAACCTCTACAAAAGTTTGCCGCCTTCAACTGTCAAGTAACATTTTCAGCTCTTGGACAAAATCATGGAGATATAGTTGAGCTTACAATATTGTCTTTTCAAGTTGGATACTTTCCAATAACAAAGTAAGTCAAACCAAAACCCGAACAAAAATTTGAGTTTCAAAACTCGACGATTAAAAAAAATTCCCTGTAAATCAACTTTTACCGAAAACTCTTCAAACCAAAATCGAGACTCTTCAAGAAAACATTGTGAATATTACCGGTTCAGAAAAACTCGAAAACTCCCAATCCCAAAACACTATTCGACTCTTTACACAAAAACTTTGTACAAAGAAAACCTTCAGCTTTTGTAATCGATAAAAATTTAATTGAAAAATGCGGCAAAAAAGAAACGAAATTTTTCGATCCGAAAACTTGGAAATTCGTGTTATTTTTCATTTTTTCAAATTTCTTGATTCTGACTTGGAATAATTCAGATCTTATTTAATTCCATTTTTGAAAGCTTCTTGAAACTCTGATGGCTGCTAATAAAGCTACCAGTTGATATTCATGAGTTTGAAAGGTAAAAGGCGATAAAAAATGATTAATTGACCAAAAGACTATAGTAAATCTGATTGCATGGTGGAATCGCGAATAATGAAATTCATGAATCTTGAAAAGAATGAAATGAGCGAATCACCTTTTTCTTCATCATGACATCATTATTATTCTCTTCTTTTCCTTTTCTCTCTCTTATTAATTATTCTAATGATTAAACCATGCACACTTTTTGTCTGCTCACCTAATGAATAGAGAATCAATCTCTATTCAGGGTTTAAAGCAAAGAAGCAAATTACACGATAATTCATGATAAACTCAATTGCATAGCTGATTAATGAATTAAACTCACTTTCAATTATCCAAACACAATCATGACTAGAATTTTGCAACAAATTCAAAAGCATTATTCGTAACAAAAAAGGCTGTGAAGCAACTGCGAAAAATGATGTAAAATGATAAAATTCTTGTCATGGTCAGAATGGATCAATAAATTAAGCCATCATCATGTCAACTGAAATGAGCGAAGAAAAAGTTTTTCTCTTTTCTTGCAACCTTTCTTTTCTCTAGCAAATATTTCATGAGCTTATGGAAACGTAACAGACGAAAAGTTTGTAGCAATATTAGCAGATGATGAAGTAAATGGTTCAACATTATCAGCTTCACTCCATGGTATATTAGAGTAACCATGGGAATAGAAATGATAAAATAGACGAATTTTTTCTTCTTCTCTTGGCTTCATTTTCTGTTAAGATTTTTGTTTCACGAATTTCAACTCATTTGTTCTTGTTCTCAATAATCTGCCTTTACAAATTCGCTATTAGCCAATTTCAACTTTTGGTTCTTCTGCATTTTCTCTGGTTAATGAAAGTTGAAAAGGATCAAGTTAATCATTGCAAGTGAAAATTAAATTTCAAAACCAGAATAGCCTTTAAAGCAAATAACAATTAATATTTGCTCAACATTTTTATTCATTTGTTAGTGAACCTTGTTTGCTGTTAAACATTTTCATCATTTTCCAAGTTGATGAGTAACTGTTAATGTAAAGGTAAATAACAGGGAAATTGAAATGTATAAGAGTGAAGAGAGAAGATATTGTCATCATTTTGTTTTCACTTTTTTTCTCTTCTCAGTGAATAGATTGCTGTATCATGAATGCAGTTGGAATTGCATTAAATTGGTAAAAAGATTGAAAGGAAAAACTTGACAGAATTAATAACAATTGAATGGAATGGCAAGGAAAAGAGGAAAAAAAGTTGAATGGTTGAAAACTGTCAATTCAATTGTATATTAAAGTAACTGAATAATGTCAAGCTTAATCACGTTTATAGCCTCAAGATTATTGCAATGTGATATCAGTGTGTTTTGATAATCATCATGAAAGGAAAATGCTGACAGATGAATATTGAACAATCATTGGGAATCATTATAATGGTCATTAAAGTGGCAAATCAAATGCAACAAATTGCACTTCAAAGTCGAATCAACATCAATCAGTATTTCTTGTTTTACATGCTTCATGTGAGCATCGGAAGACAAAGTTAAACTAATCTTCTGAAGTCAAAATTTCGCTGGAATTTTTTTCTCCTCTAAATTAAATTTTTAACCAAAAGAGCATAAAATCTGTGGGAACATAAATTACAAGGAACATTCAACACAAACTGAGCTCTCCAAAGATTATACTCGAGTTTTGATCGATTTTCATTTTGAATTTGATTCATCAAACGGAAATTTCTGATTAGAGATAAATTGATTTCGAGTTTTTGGAATTTCCAAGTTTCCCATTTTCTGAAGATTTTTTCTTAACAAAAATTCTTTGCAATGAAAAAAGCTCTTGCTAACTGGCTTAATATCAATTGTCATTCATTCTTGTTTTACATGTGTCCTTAGCAAAAACGAAGAAAGAAGTAAAAATTTATCTTGAAAATTCGAAATCATACTGAAATTTTCTCAATTCTGGAGTAAATTTTTTTCGAATGGAACAAAAAATTTTGTGGAAACTCGGAATAGCATTGCCACATTGAAATGTATCGAAATTTTGATGGAGACCAGACTTGAGTTTCGATGAATTTTTGTGTTGGTATTGATCGAGCAAAAATAGTTTCTCGATTAAAAGCCAATTGAAATCAAGATTCTGACATTTCTGAGTTTTCCATTTTTGGTAGAAAAAAATTTTACAAAATTTTCGCGAACCAACAATCTGGAATTGATAATGAAATTATTGCAGCAAAAGATTGAAAGATTATCATTTTTGAGTGAAAAAATGTTGATCACAAAAGCAAACAGTTTTTCGTCTTTAGCCATTTTATTCAATTTCAGAGTCATTTTACTTATTCTTACTTTTTCACTTTGACATCAACAAATGATTGTAATTTAATGATGATTCCCACCATTTTATTGGATTATAAAGATGAAAAAGAAAGAAAGAAAAGAGCGAAAAAAGAACGGAACAATCAAAGTCTTGATATCTTTTTATCACAATTTTTAACTCCCAATTCTCACTCCCTTTACTTCCATATTTTTTCCTCATCCCTTTACCAAAAAGGCTTTCTTTCATTTCCTCTTTCCATGGGCTTCTTTAATGATATTTTTACGCTCAGTGGGAAACAATTTTGGGAAATCTTGGTTTGCTGCTTGTTGTTTAAACTGGCAAGATATCATCTTTTATTATCATCATTTACATTTGATATTTATATGAGGCTGGATAACAGGGAGTGAGAAAAGTTGATGGCAAGAAGGAGAAGAGAAAAAAACATGGCTTTTGTTGCATTTTTACTTCCATCAAAAGACAATTTCAACAGAACATAAAAAATCTGAAAATCCCAATGGGACATCTTTTGCTCGAACCATTCAAAGTTCGAGTCTACCAGTGAACCTTTGGAAAATTTTGACGAACTGATTTTTCGAGTGAAAAAAGAGTTTAATTTTTTCTCTCTTTTCCTTTGGATACCAGAATAACCATATTCAACCTTTTCTTCTCGCCTTACTTCTCATTGTTATTATCATTATTATCATCGTAATCATCATTATTATCATGATTATCATTTTGTATTTCATTTTTTACTGCTTCTATTTTTGTCTATCGAAACGTTGTTCCATGCTGAAAATGAAATGCTTTTGTAATGAACTTTTGTTTGAACAGAAGAAAATCATTTCCACTTTTCTTTTTCTTTTCCTAAAAAAGCTCGAATCGTTGATGAAACTTTTTCCCTCTTTTCTTGTTTAGTCTTTCATTTCAACATTTTCACATTTTCATTCCATGATAAATCTTGAAATTGAATTTGGCTAAATTTTCATTTCTTTTTCTTCCGTTTGCTCTTGATTTTCTCTCCATTTCCATTATCGTATTCATTTCGAGTATTTTTCACCTTTAATAAATTGTCCCTTGTTTTACTTTGCCCGAACTCATAAATCACTACGAATGTGGAAAAAATGGAGAAAAAATTGATTAATGAATTGAGATTATTGCTTTTTCTTCACCAACCACTTTTCAATATTTCAAGATTAACAATTTTCACTTGAAACTGAGCAAAGTAAAAAAGTGTGTTCAATCATGATAACGTGAAAATTAAAGCTTAACCATGTCAACCTATCGAACAACATTCTAATAAATGTGGATTCTCTTCAACTTATTAACTTCAATATTGAAACATCCCAATTGATCGCTAATTTGACAGGTTTCAATGGATTTCCAGGTTTAGAATTAAATTTTGTATCTTATTGGTTTGACTTTTTCCCTTTCAACCTTGATAAAGATTTAAAGGCAAGAAAAAATAGAAACAAAAAAAGTTAAAAAAGTGACAACTTTTTGGTTGCCAGTAAAAAAGGTTCACAATTTTGGGTCATTTTTTCATGTGCCACTTAAAGTTATCAAAGTGAATGAAAAAGATGAAACAAAAAAGCTGTACAAAAATTAAGATAAAGCGATTGGTAAAAGTATCTAGGAATGAGCTTGGCACAAGTTTTTTTAAAAATAGAAATGAAAAGGTAAAGATGATGAAAAGAAAAGATGAAATGAATGAGAGAAGGAAAAAGAGATGAGAATTTTTGATCCCTTCAAAAGTTTGAAATCGGATTAAGCATCACATCCTTCAACTTGATCCATCTTGTCTTACCCTGAGCAAAGCTTATCAACTTCACTTGCAGACTTGCTCGATCCAGGTTTACTTGAGTGTAAAGCCTTGCTTCTCGCAACCAGCAATTTTAAATAATTTGTACTCTCTTCTCTTGCCTGCTTCTCTCAACCTTTTTTGCTTCTCATCCCTTCATCTTCCCTCATCACATTATTGTTCAATGTTTCATGTTACTCTGAAGAGTAAATTGTAATAATTATTTTAAAAGTGTGTTTACTTTTGCTCTTCTCTGTTTCCCTTTCATCTTCTTCCATTAGCCATCGACATTAATCTTGAAACGAATAGCCTTGCTTTTCTTGATCAATGCTACCATCCATGACCAGGTAGTTTAATCTTGTTTAAATCGGATCATCTTTCATTTATCCTTTTCTTCCTCCTTCATCTTTTTCCTTCATTATTTTCTTTACCTCATTCCATGTGAAAAGATTTTCACTTAAACCTTTTTTTGTCAAA